ATGTCGTCAGTAGCACCGCCGTCACCAAGCAGAATGTCATCGTCGTCCGGACCATCAATGACAACCACAGCATCATCAGTCTGGTTGTCGTCGTTGTTGATCTTGCCTGCGTCATCATCGTCAGCAACATCGTCGTCGCCAGCACCGTCACCCAGCGGCGTCACACACAAGTACACGGGTTTGCTTGTGGTGGTGACACACCCACACGACACCGCCGTTGCGCTAGTTCGGAATCGGCACGCACATGGAGCATTAAAGGGATTCAAGTCGCACTGCGCGTCGCACAATGCTGGGGTGGTCACACCGTCATCGTAGCAGTCCGGAGCACCAGCCAAGTTGTCGTCGTCTCCGCCACCAACAACGAAGATCTCGTCGTCATCATTATCATGGCCACCGCCCGTGTTGTTGTCGTCATCATCCGTGTTGAAATAGCTTGTGCACGCGTAAAACGGTGTCGCTGTGGTCAGGTCAATGCACAAACACCCGCCATACGCGCCAGATGAAGAAAACATGCACACACACGCCGGGTCATTGGCATCACAATGCTGCGTCTCGCACGTTGACTGGGAGTAAATGCCATCAGCCATGCACTCAATCGTCAAAATCACGCTAAACTCGTCGTCGTCTGATGTGTTGTCGTTGTCATCAGGTGTGCTGTCGCCATCACCATCTGATGTGTTGTCGTTGTCATCAAGTGTGCTGTCGTTGTCATCTGGTGTGGTGTCGTTGGTATCTGGTGTGGTGTCGTTGTCATCACTTTCAACTGCAACACTGGTGGCGCAGGCAAAGTAAATGTTGCCGCCAAAGTCTCCACAATTGCACGCGGACGCGTCACCGTTTTCCTTGAAAGCGCAGAAGCAGCCTGCATGCCCGGTGCACTGCGCGTCGCACGTTGCCGCGTTTGAGACACCTGCTTCTGCACAGTCAACGACGGGGGTGTCGTCGTCTGGGTCTGCGCATGCAAACACAACACCGCTGTACGTAGAGCATGCGCACGACTGCATGCTGGAAAGGCCAACGTACGAGCAGCCGCACCCCACGTGCCCTGAGCACTGGGCGGAGCACGAAAAGTAGGAGGTGACGCCCTCCGCAGTGCATGCAAGCGGCTCATACGTCACACCGCCATCATTGTCGATAACACCGCCAGTACCGTCGTCGATGCTGCCGTCGGAAGTGTTGTCATCCGTGCTGTCGCCGCCTGAACATGTGTATGTGAATGCGTCTGGGCCGTTGCAACTGCAGAATTGCATCACGCCGTTGTAAGTGAAGTGGGAGCAGCCGCACAGCAGCTGTCCGTTGCACTTGGCTTTGCACAACTCTGCAGAGGTGACTCCATCCTCAGCGCAAGAAGGAGTGGTGTCGTTGTCACCATCCGATGTGTTGTCGTTGTCATCTGGTGTGCTGTCGTTGTCATCTGGTGTGCTGTCGTTGTCATCAGGTGTGTTGTCGTTGTCATCAGGTGTGCTGTCGTTGTCATCTGGTGTGCTGTCGTTGTCATCAGGTGTGTTGTCGTTGTCATCAGGTGTGCTGTCGTTGTCATCTGGTGTGTTGTCGCCATCACCATCTGACGTGTTGTCGTTGTCATCAGGTGTGCTGTCGTTGCCGTCTGATACGGTGTTGTTACCAGACACGTCTCCACTGATGTGCATGCACATGTACACGGATGTACCTGAATCGGAGCAAACGCAGCCACTTGTTATGTCAAGCTGCGCAAAGACACATTCGCACGACGAGCTGCCTGTGCACTGGGCATCGCACGTGGACTGGGAAATCACCCCCTCGGCTTCGCAGTCGGGCATGCTGGATGCGCTGTCATCGTCGTCATCAGAGCTCTCAGAATCATCCAAGACGAGGCTTGAAGATCCCATGCACGTGAACAGCGGCGTGTTGGTCGCGTCAGCACACGTGCAGTTTGTTGTCGGTGTTGTGGAAAACACACAGAGACATCCTGGAACATTGCTGCACTGAATGTCGCACGATCTCTGAGAAGACACTCCCGCCTCTGCGCAGTCAACTGTCATCGTGCTGTTGCCATCACTGGTGCTGTTGCCGTTGCCGAAGGCGTTATCATCGTCGCTGACACCATTATCATCGCCGTCTGTTGACAGGCAGGTCCGCTCAATCCCCAACTCATACGGCACATGCATGCCGTTTGTGGGGACAAACACCTGCAAGAACACATCCTCTCCTTCAGCAAGGTCGCTGGTGTACGTCACCACTTCCTCGTCTGCTGATGTCTGGCTGATATCGACATCAGTCCATGTCGTAGTGTACACGTACAGCAGAGCATCAAGATCACCGCTGCTATGCTCGTGAAGCAGCGTAAATGTAATGGTGCCTCCACCGCACACGTGCGCTCTGTAGTAGTCGTTGTCGTTGGCACACCCACGCAGAATAGACACGTTGTTGGGGATGGAATAGGGGCTGGTGATGACGTTGTTCGGCTCGTACATGTCATCATTCGTGCTGCTACAAACAATCGCTGATGACGACGAGGTGGTGTTGGTCGACGTAGGAGTCATGCCAGTCGTAGTTGTTGCTGTTGTATTTGTGGTTGGTGTTTGCTCGCCAATAGGCGGTGTCGGGTCTGGCGTGCGTTGGTTGATTGGTGGCGTGGTCGTTGGGCCTTGCGTTCTTACGGGCCCACCCGTCACGACGGGCCCCTTTGTGACAACGGGAGTGCCTTGGGTGCTCGCAACCTTTGCCGCCGTGGACACACCTGGGCCTAAGATGTCACTGCACTCAACGCGCACGGTCAGAGCGTAAGTAAAATACTCATCACTGTTGACCGCAACACGCGCGTACATGAGCGTGGGGAGCGTGTCGGATTCAAACGATGATCGGACCTCCAGCGTGGGTGAATATGCCACAACGTCATCACGCGTGAACGCAAATGCGTCATTGAACAGCTCCATCTGCCACCGCTGTGAATTGGCCGTGCTGACAGTAAAGGTAACCTGGCCCGCAAAGCATGCGAGGAACTCGACGGCAAAGAAGTTGGCCACGCCAGGGCACAGCAGCATCGTGTTGGAGGACGCGTAGCCGTTGTCAGCCACACGCAGCAAGGCCGCCTTGTCAAAGGTGTTGTGGGCAGTGGCGCTACTCTCCTGGCACACGGGGGTTGGAGTGACCTCTGCCGTGCCATCGCACTCAACCGTCACCTTGAGTTTAAACGTCACGCCAACGCCAACGTCAACGCCAAAGTCGATGTCATGCATGTTCACGCGCACAACCACCTCCGTGGGGACCTGGCTGGTGCTGCTGAGGGCGCGGCCTGCCTCAACCGTATCACTGCTGAAGGACATGCCATCAATGCCGAGATATGTTGACGCGGTGTCAAACACCTCGATCTGCCAACTGGTGGCGGCGCTTGCGGTGGCCGTCACAGTAAACCGGCCGCTGAAACATCGTGGCACGTTTGACACGCGCACGTGGGCATAGCCGCCAGGGCACAGCACCAGCTCCTCCGAGATCACAGCCGGAGCGCCGTTCATGTTCACCAATGCAGCCGTGTCAAATGTGTCGTGGCTCTGCACACATGGCGCAAACGGTGTCGTCGTTGGTGGTGGTGACGGCGTGACTGGAGGTGGCGGGGTTTCTGGCACTGTCACTGGCGACAGAGTCTCTGGCACTAGTGTGACGCGCGGCGTTGGTGGCGGCGGTGTTGGTGGTGGGGCAGTGGCGCCGTCAACGCACCCTGTGCCAAAGTGCATCGAGTACGGCACTACCGTGCTGGCGTCCGCAGAGATCATGACGTAAACCGACGTCTCTACAGCCGGCAGCTGCGTGTCCACGACGCCTTCGGCGTTGGTGGTGGTGATGGCCTTCAGCTGCACGCCCTGGCTCGAGTATAACACGGCCTTCCACTCGGAGCCACTGTTGTCGACCTTCACGCCAACCTTCACCCACGCAGCATCCTTGCAGGCGGGCAGCACCACCACATAATAGTCGTCGTCCCCAACACACATGATGCCGTCAACGGCAAAGTCCAGTGACACGGGGTTGAGCACCAGCCCCGTGGCCGTGTCCATGGAGTCGTTTGGCTCTGTCACGTCATCGCCGATGCACGGGTCCGTAACGCCACCAGCGCATCTGTCCAGCGGCAGCATCTCAATGGTCCACAAGGACTTGTCCATCGACGTCTGTGCAAGGCAGCGGTCGCGATGGTGGTGATGATGATGGTGGTGATGATGATGGTGGTGATGATGATGGTGGTGGTGGTGGTGGTGGTGGTGGTGGTGGTGAGACGACAGGCACGCACATCGATACATTGGCATACACGCGCACACACGCGCACGCACACAAACACACGCACACACACACACAAACACACATGCGCATGCACACGCACACACGCACACGCACAGGTGCTGCGTACGTGTAACACAAACACATGTTTGCACCGCACCTTGATTGCTTCAATGTCGCTGGCGAGACGAAAGTAGCGGATGGTGCTCCAGGGGCGGCCGCTGACCAGCGATGACTCAAGATTGTACTGCACGTCCTGGAGAAACGTGTTGTCACTCTCAAGCACTGCGGCAATGTCCACCATGCCCTGCACATCATGGTTGAGGGAGGATAGTGGTGGTGGCGTGGTGTGATGAGGACATTGATGGCGCGTGGAGTGTTTGGGATGATGGGTTCGTGACAGCGTGATGATATTTCATTGTCGATCACAGACTGGTGGCAAGCATGCGGTGTCCGTGTTTCCTTGTCCAGCTACCCAACAACAAGCACCACATCTACGACGTGTACAAGCGTGCAAAGCACCCTCTACCTTGTTCTGGATCGCAGTTGCATCGACAGAATCGAGGGCAGCGAGGCGGAAGAGGGCAAGGCGGCCAATCACGCCGGCGTCCCCCGTCGTCGCAATTGTAATGCCTTTGATATGGAGCGGGCTGCAGTTGACAGCACGTTCAGCGAGAGGAAGAGAGAGAACAGAGGATAGGGAGCAAAGAAAAGGTCGGCGGTGTGGTGAGCAATGTCAGCAAACGCATGAGGCAAGCAACGTGAGGGCGTGTGTGTGTGTGTGTGTGTGTGTGTTCGCGCATGAAGTCTATTTGATGAAAGACAGCAGCGCAGCGAATCAATCATGCACCCCCAATGCCACTGAACGTACTTCTCTGAGCATGACCATGGCCATGGGTGACCAGAGCACAACGCAATCTGTCTGTTACAGCGAGGGCTGCCAAGTACAATGCCTGAAAGCAGCGCGAAGTGAAGACAACCCCAAGCACTTGATGAACGTGCGTTCAACATCTCTCACGCAACGTGCTGTTATGCAATTCATCTCATGCACATACAGACAAGCACCACACGCACACTCACCACTAACACAAGCACACGCACACATGAACGCATACACACGCAGACTCAAACGCACACTTGCACGCGCCCACACACACACACACACGCACGCACGCGCACACTCTGTTGGAGCTGACCTTCTGGGTTTGTGTTGAAAGCGCCATCGATGGTGTTCCGCGATGTCACGCCGTTCCCATTGAAGGCGCTCACCTTCAAGGACCCGACCGCGTCCAGCTTTGGGAACAGAATCTGCACGCGTTCGATGTAGTCGGGGTCATGATGGCGGCGGTGGTGAGAATGATGACGCTGAGGGGGAACAAGGGTTGAGTTAGACACATCAGCGGCAATCACACTTGCGTTGGCCGTGTGCATTCAGGTGGCACACGTGAATGCGTACTGACACACGCACGCACACACACACACAACACACACACACACGCAGACTGAGCACCCTGGAATCTCGTGCGCTCAGGCACCATCACTGTTGACGTACGCCGGCGCCGCTGGGGAGGTTCGAAAAAAGGCCAATGTCAATGTCAGCAGTGTACCCCACATTTGGAAACACCTATCATTGTTGGTGTTGTTGATGATGACGATGATTATGATTATGATGATCATTTGATGGAAAGGGCAACAAGAATCAGGCACGCACGTACGCGCACACTTACACATCACACAGCTGCTAACCAAAAAGGCACGATGAGCACAAAGCAGTCAACACAGTGACTGTCCTCACCAGTCTGTTCAAGCGACGCTGGTTTGTGTAGAAGACCTCGATCTTCTGCATTGAGCTTGGTGTGTTGACAACCAAGTTTGTCTTCTCGGCGTTGGTTGCATCGACATGCACCTGTGAGTTTCGAGCGAGTCAGGAGCAAAGATCATGAGCCCCAGACGAAGCGGGGGATTGTTGTGAGCGAGCTGTGTATCGTGAGGCGCAGTGTGTCCTTGAGGCATGTCGACCGTCCAATTGTCGTATTGGTGTTGTCATTCAAGAACAACAGCTCACCCTCTGCTGTCCACATCTTCTCCTTCTCCACAAGCAAGTAAGCATTGTTGGATGAGACACCTTACCCGCACAAATTCGGCTTTTGGTAGTGTTATCTCCAAGGTCTGGTCATCCGCCGCGCCCCACTGGTTTGTGAAATCAATGCAGACGACCGCACCTGCAGGTGGCTCCTGCTTTCCCTCGGCTGGGTGCCAAAATCGGCAACGCAAGGCAAGCAAGTAATGAGACACGCACCAAAAGGTGAGCACACGCCAAAACACTACTGGTTGGTTGGTTGGTTGATGAATTGTAGATTTGCGAGGTACCATGTCACGCGACAAGGCACTCCACTAAGTGTTTGCTCGTGAGATTGAAACATACCGATTGCCATCAGCATGTCGTTTCCCACGCTTGTGCCACCTTCTGGACTATACGTTGCGTGTGCGTGTGTGTGTGTGTGTGTGTTTGCATGTATGGATGAGTTGCAGGGGGGAGGGGAAGGTACGCGCAAATCTATTTGACGATTCACGCCCTTCCACTTAGCATTGACAAATCGCGCAAAGGAGGAGATGATGAATGCAAGCACAATCGCCCACCATGGTTCCTGTGCAGCCGTCGCGGTCAGTAGAAGGAGCAGTGGCAATGCAAGCGCTGCCACCGCCGAAGAGGGCGGCCGCAGATGCGCCATTCCCTGCTTTTTAGCCTTGCCGGGTGCGTGCAGGCCAAGCGCACTAAGCGCAAGCGCGCACAATCGTTCGTCGTTGGTGGGGTGTTCTCGGCGCCCTTATCGTTGTTCTGGTTGTCGCCTGCTTCTTAGGCTGGAACTGGACCTGACGCCGCCTGCCGTGCGCACACACACACACACACACACAGCTCACTTTTGATCTGTCTGGGAGTGGTGGTGGTGGTGTCGTCGTAATGAAGGGGGGGGGGGGTACGCCGAGCGGTGTACGTACGAAAATTTGTGCAAGATACAAACGATGGTCATGGTGACCTCGGAACGACAAGCGACAGACAAAATTGTTGCTTTTCCTGCCGCCAACCAACAACGCTGATGAGCGGTCGCACGCTTGCTGAGCTGCTGGCGCAAGATGGTGTGTGTTTGTGTGTGTGTGTGTGTGTGTGTGTGTGTGTGTGTGTGTGTGTGTGTGTGTGTGTGTGTGTGTGTGTGTGTGTGTGTGTGTGTGTGTGTGTGTGTGTGTGTGTGTGTGTGTGTGTGTGTGTGTGTGTGTGTGTGTTTGCTCCCCGTCCACCTCCCTCCTTTTACTTCCTTTCCCCCTCCTCCTCTCCCCATTCTCCCCCTCCCCCAACTCACTGCCGTCCATGGCTACGGTCACACGACTCGACCGCCTGCCCTTACCATCCCCGCGTCTATTTTGCGTGCTCGCAGCGTGCCCGGACCCGGGCGACAATCCCGATGATCCCAGCTTCAAATTCCAAGGGGATGGCATTGCCGCAGCGGACGGCTGCCACACATACTACAATGAGCTTGTGCACGACAAACAAGTGATTCGATGCAACGTACGTGCACTGCTTGGTGTCATTGCTTCGTTGACAATGCGTGGCTGTCATTCTGTGTGGCTGCCACTGATGTGGCTGCATCTGTTTTGAAGACTTGTTGCTGCTTCTGTGAGAGCGCGTGCGAGACCAAATGATGCACACTACCCCCAAGATCCATCTTCAATTACCGCAGCGCTCACACTTACACACACACACACACTCACACTCACACACACACTCACACTCACACTCACGCACACACACACACACGCACGCACACACATACACACACGCACACACACGGCATGGTGCAGGACTTTGTGCTGCTGTCGTACACCCCTGGTGAAGGGGAGGTTGTGGAGAAGACAAACGCGCTGGAGGTGGACGAGGCGCTGGTGCAGGTGACGGCCATGTGGCGGTGCAACCTCCGCGACTACAACTACATCCAGGTGCTCTGGCTCTACAAACCCATCGATCTTCCACAGCACCTGAAACACCTCAACGAGATTGAGGACGGTGCCATGATCTGCTCCTATGTCGACCAAGATGCGCGCGACATAATCTTTGCCTGCTCCATCCTCGGAAAGTAAGGATCTGTATGTACATGTGTGCTTGTGTGTGTGTGCGTGTGCGTGTGCGTGCGTGTGTGCGTGTGCGTGCGTGTGTGCGTGTGCGTGCGTGTCTGTGTATCAATGTATCAGTGCGTGTCTGCGTATCAGTGTGTCTGTGCGTGTGTGTACGTGTCGTCTCCATCTCCTGTATCTTTCTCTCCATGTTTGTGCGAAGACGTAGTCGTGCATAGAGCCAATGGCCAGGTGCATTTGACGGGCACTGTGCACGTGATAATGTGCTTGCGAGGCTGCCGCTGTGCATGCACTTGCTCCTGCTCAAGCAACACAACCTGGCACGTGTGTACCAGGTGCGTGAAGCGGACGAGTGCAGTGAGCAGACCACCGCCCGGCTATCGCAGCGTGCGCGTCAATGGCGTCGTGCGCATCAAGGGCGACCGCTATAAGCTGCGCAACCGCGCAAAGGACATGTTCCACCTCCTCGTACCCGTCCAGGTACGCCTGCAAGCACACGTCCGTGTGTGTGGTGGGGGGGGGTTGGGTGGGGCGTGAGTGTTCGTCTGTCTGTGTGTTTGTATCTATGTGTCTGTATCTGTGTGTGTGTGTGTGTGAGTGTGTGAGTGTGTGTGTGTGTGTGTGTCAGTGAGTGAGTGTGTGTGTGCCTCTCCATTTATGAGGGGCGAGCTGTTGTGCCAGCCTTACACAGCAACTCACCCTCCTCACTCAACACAACACAACACAACACATCACACAAAACACCCATCGCAATCCAGGGCAAAACCGAGGACCTGCTTGATGACGAGGAAGAGGAAAGGGAAGAGGAGGAGGATGAGGATGAGGAGAGGAGAGGGCTTGGCCAGTATGAGCGGCTGGCACATTTTCACAGCGACAGCAGCGATGACGGTACAGGTCGCGGCCGTGCTCGCGTGGGCCAGCCAAGGGACCGAAGGAAACTGGTCAAGCGAAAGCAAAACGGCAGTAGCACCACCACCACCACCCCCACACCTCGCAGAAGAAAGGGCCGTCGCGATGACGATGATGATTGGGATGGTGATTTCGTGGGCACCACGACTGCCACCGCCGCCACCAATTCGACCAAGCGCTCCGGCCATGGTTCACAGCAGACGAAGAAGCGCCCGAAACACGCAGCGCGAAGCGGGTCGCCATCGCTCCCGCTGCAAACACAACCGACAGCAGCAGCAGCAGGCAAGTCGCAGAGGCAAAGAGGAAAGAATCCCACAGACAAAACCTCATCTAGCAGCAGTAGCAGTCGCGGTAGCGGTGGTGGTCGCGGTGGTGATCGTAAGCGAAGCGAGACAGCAGCACGCAAGGAAGGGCGCAGAATACGACGCAGGGACGACGATGATGACGATGGGGATGACGAGGAGGAGGAGGATGACGTTGAAGACGTGGTCGTGATTCGAGACACGCCACAAGGGCACAGCGAGGGTCATGGTGGCACTGGTGGTGGCAACGGTGGTGGGGTGAAGATCAAGATACATATACCACGACGACCAAAACGCGGTGATGAAGGCGATGAGGAGGATGAAGATGAGGACGAAGATGGACTGGGCAGTCGGCGGCGGCGGCGGCCCAAACTGGTCGTGCGACGCGGGCGGGAAGACAATCACGATGATGA